CTCTTCCACTCTCCCATTCACACACGCACTCGCGCCTCCCGCAGCCCCTCCCGCTGCAAGAGCTTGTTGCTAGTAAGCTCGGATGGACTCTACCATTTCCACTGGCACACAGAGGCTCCGAGCTCCTCCCGGGATGAGCTGGGAGGACCGAAAGGTTGGATCCTAATCTCCTGCTTTCCAGCTTAGCTGGCTGCTGGAGTAACTCACACGGCCGACTGTCTGCATCTCTCTCTGGACCCCCAGCCCCCAGCCAGCCACCAGCCTTCTCTGTGTTTGGAGAGGAAAAAGATTGGCACCAGGGGAATGCCAATGCCGGTAAGAACATCATTTATCTGGTTGGTTGTTTTGATGTTTGCTTATTCTTTGCAAGCTTTTGTAAACTATCCTGACATCTCCGTTGCTGTTTGCCAACTGGTTTCTTGTGTACGAGGTGGTTTTGAGTGTCTTTTATTAGTTAACTGCCTTTAGAGGAACGTGTTTTGTTTTCGAAAGAGGATTGTCTTTGAATTGCATCCTTAAGTTTTTAAAATATTAAACAGGACCAATTAATCTTACTCCCTCAGTTTCTGATCATTAACCATTTTTTAGCAGCTAAAACAGAGTAGATTTCTATGCTTTTCATAGTCTTTAACAAGTATTTCTAAAGGATGATAATAACATCTTAGTTTACATTCAAATAAGAAAGATTTTAAAATGATAAATTAAACAATCCTTCAGTCTTGTGAAGGGTAGGGCAATATGGACTAATTTTCTTCGAGGAATTGGAATAATATAACGGAATGCTAGTGCAGGATTTGAAGAGTTTCGATGCACATTGACAGGAAAGTTATAGAGGCTGAGATTCAGAAACACTTCTGCCCAGGGCTTGGTCAGCCACTATGTATGACAAGAAATTGAGCCTTATTATTTAAATGAACATATAACATTTGGCAAAATCCAAAAATGTGTACTTCTCTTGTCAGGGAATTCTGCTGATGAGTTGAAATGCAGATTATATTGCTGTGCTACACTGGACTCCTTCTTTCATGTGCAATGCAGGGAGTGGGGGGAGTTTTAACTGCATCTGTGGTGAGATAGAGGCCATGCATTATTTATGTGTAACAAATCTCTCATAGATGCAAAATATTAATGCACTTTGTACTGCAATTTGGTTGTTAATCTAGCCTTGCTTGTACATCGCTGAAATGCTGAAGTGTAAACTCAGTGGCCATAGTCCCTATTGCTTGCTGGACTCCTTGCAGCCCATTGCATTGCAGAGACACCAGCTGGGAGAGGTGGTTCAGTGCTCCTTGCCCTCTCTGCAAAGCCAGCCAAGGCAGGCGACCCAGGGACAGCAGTGTGATTACAGTCCGATCGTCCCTCAGAGACAGAATACTCGGCTTGTGACGCGGTGCTGTTGGGACTAGTGCAATCTTCACAGAACATAGAATGGGAGATCCACATTTGGAATACACTAAAATATTTGAAGACTTTACTTTGAAGGATAGACAAATACCAAGAGCTTCTAGTCTAACCCTCTTTGGCACAACCAACTAATTAACTGTCCGGTAGGCTATATCAGTCACATCATTAAAGAGCTGGTCACACCAAAGATCAGCACTGGAACAGCTTGACAGCTCCAGTATACAGAATCTTTAACACTCAAAAACTTTAAAAGACTAACAGAAACACAGACTTATCTTGCACACAGACATATTTTTCATGATACATTTTTTGTTAGATTCAGTCAATAGCTGTGTTATTTTGTCTTTGCTCTACAAATGGGAAATCCTATAATCATAGCCATATAGAGAGGTTAGGGGACTGTGTCAACCTGGATAGTAGAGTAACCCTTCTAAACCTTCCTTTTAAACTCATTTTCTGCTGAGAAATCCTGTTCCTTTATCCTTCCTATTCTAAACACATTGTAATCAATCATTAAAGCAATCATCAGTCTTTTAAAGTATCTATTCATAGCACCTTTATCTGAAAATACATCACTAAGCCAGATTGCAGGTCAGTACTGCATGGACAAAGCAAGTAACCTAAAAAAATTATTAAAATTGAAATAAGAGAATAACATATATTTGGATGAAACGGATTCCATCCAATATATTTTCAGTTTTAAAGTTCTTCCTTCTAAATCTACAGTAAACAAGAAAATTTAATGACAGATCTAGGCTTATTTAAAAAATGAAGTATGATGTACAAGAAGAGCAAAGATCAGTAATACATTTGTGAGCAAATACTGCAATTGTAAAAACATAGATAGAGGAATACATCAAAGAAAAGCTATTAAAAAAGAGAATCCCTCACATTCTCTTTTGTTAAATGAGCTTTAAATCAAATATTGGCTTTACTAAGAATAACCTCATTTATACAGTAAATGTTCAATGCAATTCCTATTTAAATAAGCTCTACCAGAAAATATTAACTATTCTGATAAGAACCAAATGACGTGGTGGATACAGTGTATGAGTGAGTAAGACAGTACTGCTACCTGTACCAGAAGTAGCACTTTGAATCTAATGTCTGAAGGTCAGCCTTTGGTGGAATGTCTACTGCACCAGGAAAAATAACCGAAAAAAAAGAGTATTTTGCCCAGTCATCAATTAGGATTTATATTACAAGTTATCCATCCAAAATCAGAAAGTCACTCATTCCTGAGTTATACATACTCTTCATCGATTTTGTTCATGCAGTAAATTCTGCTTTGACAGGTCTGCTATTCTGTTTATAACTGCATTTCATTTTTATTTATTGGTCTCACAGCACGTTTACTGCATGTGATGTCAGAGTACATAAATTCAGGAGGAACATGTCACATACCTGAATGCCACAATGAGGAAATGCTTCAGGAGTATTTTAAAATTACTGAAACTGCCATCAATCACTAATTATTAAATAATTGTTTAATTCTATGTTGCTAAACATAAAACACTACTTTGTTGCCATGGAATCACTTGATGATCTAAACAGACAACTATAGTGCCTTGTGGAGGAGGGTGGTACAATGCCGCTTCTCACGTTTATCATCACATTTTCAATTACATTGATTTGTGGGTGCAGATGTGAACAAATCCTCCCACCCAGCATGGGAAAGCAGTTCGTTCTGACGGGGGGTCGCAGAAGAACAGTGCACCAGGTGGGGCTGAGCACGTGACTGAAGCATCACACAGAGGTGGATAATAGTATTTAAAATGTTTAATTTCACTTGTAGCCACTTTCCTCCTAGGACCTTTTTTTCTAACTATTCAGTCAAAGTTAATCAAATTTCCAGTCTAAATAAACAGCCACTTTGGGCCATTTTCACTTTCATTGTCGCAGCTGAAATGAACTGCTTACATCTCAGTTACCTCAAAACAAACATGCATCTCCAGCAAGAAACCAGGTGTCTGCATCAGAAGCACAAACCTGGACATTTTAATAGCACTACAGTATGTTCACGTACACTGTGGTATTTCTGGAAGTGTCTGTTAACTAACATTTACACAGAGCACTGGAAATGGTAGAATCCACAGTAAAGACAAGCAGAACAATTCCTTCCACCCCTGAAGTGTTATTTTGTTTCAGTCTTTGGAGTACTGCGGTTGATGGAGGAACAAAGAAAAAGCTCTTTGAAGAAAGAAGTTCTTTTGTCCTGCTGTCTCAGCAAAGATGGAGTGTTCTATTACTTTAAAGAGCAAGCAGCAGCAATTTTATGGAACCATGTAAAGGCGCTGTCCAAAGGACAGTAGATCAGTTCTTTCAGATCAGGCCTTGGAAACACTCCTAAATTTTCTCCAAGAGATCGTCCTGCCCTCACACTATAGGATCGCTGTTCAGTCTTCTGACAAACATATAGGTTTCCATGTGTACAGATCAGTGACACTCATTAGGCAACTCCGACATGACACTGCTATGCTGCAAATGTTGATATTGGCAGTTCATCAGTTTATCCTTTTTATACACTCAGTCATGGTGTTTGAAAAATTCTCATTTGGTTTGTTAATTTAATACTGGAAAATCTAGTGGAAAGAATTACATTTAAAGTTCCCTGCTTATTTTCCAGTTAAAAATCTTAAACTGTCATGAAATTGGAAGCCGTGTTTCCAATAATAATATTGGAGCAACAGGGGAATTGATTGTTAAGCAAAGTATTGATTGAAAAAGCTACCAGCAACAGCTGTCAGATGTAAAAGAATTGTGAGGGAAATAAAACCACCTCATATTCTGAACATATCGCCTGTGATGGAATTGTATTATCCCCTGTGAAGGAAAAAAATAACACAAAGGTATGTACAGTATATTCAAATATACAGTACAATAGGAAATAGGACATTGCACTTTGAATTCTGGAAATGAATAAGAGTGGATGTTTTAGGGGTGATCTAAATTACATTTAAATGCCACCAAATGTGTTACTTTAAACTTTAAACTACTTATTAGTCCCCTTTTCTGGAAAAAAAAACAAATCTCACACACAAACTGTCATTTGCACAATAATGTCAGGTGTGCTAGCAAAGGGTCAAATCACCACAGAAATCTGAGATTATGCCATGTTCAAAAAACCTGAATCCACACTTTATTTTGCAGCATTCTAATAAAAGCTATGTGGATTGTGAAATGACATCACCACCATACTTCAATTAGACTGCCATTTTCTGACCATGCAAGTCTTTAAAAGACTTCTGCCTTAAATCACTGCATCAGTAATTTACTCTTCTACAGTTGATTGTTTTAGGGCTGATCTATGCTATTCTGTTGGCACTCGCAGTAAATGTGTACTCTTCAGCTACAGAATAGTTTTGATGCCATAGAAACACACTGCGTTATACACACAGACCACTGAACTTACTCATGAGACTTTCTCTGACAACAATATGAAAAAAAAATGTAATCCTTTAAACAGGGCATTTTCTTTGCAGCATTCTAGTTTGTGAAGAAATAAAAACAAGTGAAGTAATTTGACAGAAAACACATTTAAATGTTTTACTCTTTAAGCCACAGTTGCTCTCTCTGAAAACTCTGTTTGTACTCTGTAGTTTGCGGACATCTTTAAAGTCTGATTATCTGGCGATGTGTGCAGCATTAAGCTTTATTCTGTCTGTCTTTGCACTGTAGAGTGCTCCACTGCAGGAGAAAGAGTTTCTTAAGTATCCCATTGAATGTGAGATACAAAAGAACTGCCTTCTGCACACCCGCCCCATTTCTAGTGCTGGGAGGTAAATTCAAATGAAAAAAGAAACCCCAGCAATTGTCCAGTAGTACTGCCAGTGTATCAAGGAGAAATAGGAAAAAATAAGCTGCCTGTCTAAGGGTCAGCAGAATGTAGTACCTGATATTTTGAATTCCCT